TGTGTCCAGTAAACCATAAAATTTGCCAAATAGTCACCGAGTTCACGGGAGCCACCACCAAATGCGACCGTCTCAAAGCATGGCGCCACTGGAAGTCCAATTATTTAATTTTTTATGCCAACTTGTTCCACACTTTTGGAGCAACAACAGAATCGAGTTGTGACAAGAGCATGGTTTTCTATTTATAGAGGCTTTCCTGTAAAACAATACTGACCTGTTTGTTGAACTTTAAACCTGGATCCCGTGTTGCACCATTACCTGTAACCTGTTAAAACTATTTCCTTGATTTCAAAGCAGGTGAAATTACAGTGTGAGCTCCTCAAATGATTCAATGTTTTTATACAAATCAAGCAGCAATAGAAACATGATGGTTCAGGATGGTCACCTTCAATGAGTTATTGGTAATTGATTATTCAACAGATTGTGTATTTATTTAACATAAACTAGTTTTCTTGAGGTTTACACATCTCTGCAAGAAGGTGAATGACAAAACTTGTCTTTTATGTCCATTCTGGGGTTTAGTTTTATAGCTTGCAACCGCCTACAGAATCCACCGCTATGCAGATGATATGCTGATATTTCCTGAAGCTTACAGATATTTAATAGATATTTGTTCTTATTTAAACAGAAAGTCTTTTCTGTTTTCTTAGAGTGCTTTTATCTTGATAAACTTATATTTTGTTGGGGGGTTTTATCAAAAACTTTGCAAAGCAGTTGGAAAGCAGTATCTGGAAAAAGAGAATATATCCTTTATTCATACCTTGTCTTTAGTTTGGGAGCTTTACTGGATTTTTGTTTGACATTTACTCAACTGTGACCTCTACTCAGTTATTATTTGCCTTGGTTTTTGTGTTCTGTTAAAAATGATATGTGCGTGTGTTTTACAACTTTAATGTGTCCTCTGTCTGGATGAAGAGACAAAGTTATCAACATGCATGCATCCAGATTAGGTGCTAAAACAGACAGACAGCATTCTTTCCTGCTCTCAGAGGAATCTGTTAACTGACAAGTTTGGCTTCCTGAGATATTTAAGGCCTCCAAAAATATTCACATCTGTTCCACAACTTTTCTACATTTACTCATTTTACAACAAATTACTTTTATGTCATAGATCAACATAAAATACTTTGGACACTCCTGCGTTAGGAGACGTATTGATGAGTTGTTGGTAAAATAAAACATGAAACAAACTGGTTGATTTTTACTTTATTTAAACTGGACCAACAATTTTACACTGACAAAAAAAGTAAGACTGCAGTTTCAGTATGATCACAGGCAAGACGTCCAATAATTCACTGGAAAACACAAAATCTTACCAAGTATTTTTAGTCTTATTTCTAGAGAAAATATCTTGGTGCACAAAATAAGAAAGCTAATTTACAAATAACTTTTCAGCAAGATATAGTAGCTTATTTTCAGTTAATAAATTCTTAATGTTATTAATATATTAATAAAATTAATTATATTGTTACAAGACTTTTGTCTTATAGCAAATTCTTTCACTATAAAACACGTTTCCCATGTTATAAGAGAAATAATCTGCCAGTGGAACTAGAACTTCATTAAAAGCACATTAAGGAGTTATTGATTTGAAACAAGCTCATATCTCTTGCTGAGAAGTTGCTAATAAGTTAGTTTTGTCTTATTTTAAGTGTACAAGGATATTTGCACTGGAAACTAGGCCATAATAGTTGGGAAGATTTTCTGATTTTGCTGTGTTCATGAGAAACGTGAAATATAATTTTTGGAGAAAAGACGCAGAAGCAGCCTTTATTACCAAGCAGGAGTATTTCCTCTGACTGGTTGAAATGTCCGGCGGACTGACAGACAGACGGACGGTCTGAGGTTTAAGAGGTGGGGAAGATGAGGAAGCCGGTGAAGCTGTGGCTGGTGCTGGTCTGCGACACCACTATGTTGTTGTATTTGGATGACTCCACATAAATTTTATCTCCGACTTCCAGGTCCAGAACCGCCGAGCCGGACGTGACCAAGAAGCTGTCAGAGCTGTCGCACAGCATGAAGTGCTCCTTGCTGCCCTTCATCAGCTTCAGACACACCTGCGTGGTGAAATCATGGTGAAACAGCCTGAAATCTGCAGGTAGAGCAGACGGTCTGAGCAGACAGAACCCTGAGACTCACTCGGGACTTTGCTGAAACGTGGAAACTGAAGAAATACACTCCTTTGATTGCACACTGGAACGTCCCGTTTACCAGCGTCTCTCCTTGAAATTGTGGCTCCAACGCAGGCAAAATCACTCTGCAGGAATTTAAAGCACATATTCATTTTGTGAAATGTTGCTTCTGCAATTTCTTGGTGTATTAACAGGTTTTTGCTTTAGAAAACATGTTTAAGTTCATCTGTAATAGTGACTCAAGGCAGTGTCGGAGCGCTTAAGAAGAACTGCCATCCTGCAACTTTTAGATGCTTGGCAGCTTTTTTACCAGGTTACTGCAGCTAAATGATTCAGGCTTAGGAAAGAATGGATCAAGAAGTCGCAGGATGGAGGACTGGAAGACCGGATGGACGGTTGGATATGTTGATGGATGTGATGGATATGTTGATGGATGTGTTGATGGATGTGATGGATATGTTGATGGATGTGTTTAATATGTTGGTGGATGTGTTGATGTACGGTTGGGTGGATGGACAGTAGTATTGCTGGATGGATGTAATCCTGAGGTAATTCCTCCCTGGTTTCTGTAAAAGCATTGGCCGGTTCCTCTCACCTGTTGAAGTTAATCGGCATGTTCGTCTCTACTACATTTGAAATGGCTCTCTTGTTGGAGAAGAAGGATTTCTGCTTTTTGGACAGGTTGAAGGGTCTTCCCTTCTCCCCTTTCTGGCCCGGGTATCCGGCAGGGCCCGGCAGGCCCATGTCCCCCTTCATACCAGGCCGGCCCGGCGGGCCCCGCATACCTGCCACCCCTTTCTGACCCCTGATTGGCTGACCTCCTTCACCTGTTCAGGGAGGTAAACACTGATTACATGCCTCATCGGCACCTGAGTGAAGCTTCCCCCCAACCTTCTTCAAATCTACCAGAACTGATGTCAATCAACTTGACTACGATTAAGAAGCAACAATTTTTGTTTGTCCCACTATCATTTTAAAGAAAGCAATAAATGTTTCCAGAGGTCACAAAAACTCGTGACAATCAATTCAACTATGCTTGAGCAGCAAAAGTTTTTGTTTGTGCAGATTTTGCTTTGAAGATATGAATTAAAGCTCAAAGATCCATCCGCCCTTTGATGGACTTTGATGGACAAAATCTAACAAAACTGTTGTAGTGAGAACTTCACTCAGGTCTCATTGGTGTCTCTAATCAAAAACAAAAACGCAGAAAATGTTTGGTATTTCAAACATGCAGCACTGCAAACTCCCTTTGTGTCAATACAAAAGACAAAAAGTTTATCTTGAATCCAATTCCTGTCCGGGCTGAGCTCACCTAGATCTCCTTTCTCCCCCTTCACGCCGTCCTGTCCGTTGGGTCCATGGGTGCCGGGGATCCCAGGGATCCCGGGGATTCCTCCGGTGCAGGACTGCATGTCCACCGGGACGATGCAGACCAAGAGAAGCAGCCATGCAGTACTGCAGCTCAGCCACTGGAGGGCCTGGACAGAAACAGAATACAGACCCAAAATACGTGACTTGTACTCAAAATCAGCACCGTCCGTCAGCTTCGGTTCCCTCCGGTGGATTTTCAACCGGGTCAATCCGCGAACGGAAAAGAAGTTGCGAAAAATGTTGATTTTCTGCGCTGTTAATATTATAGTTTGTCTGTAGTTTTTAGTTACGGCAGCGGAGGCCGTGAACAAAACCGCTACGTCTGTTGGCCACGCTTCCAAATATTAACGTTTGGATCGGCTCAGCAGACGACTTCCGGTAAGCTTCATAGCAAACTGGCCACTACAAATGTTAGCAATTGAGTAAAATTTAAAACGGGTAGCAATCGCTTCTCAATAGCCGCCTGGAACCCAAACCCTCTGTATGGAGCAAATGGATAGTTTTTGCCAGAATAACTCAAAACGGTACGAATTTAAAGAGTTTTCTTTAGATTTCCTGCTTGAATTTTCCCAAATTTTTTTCACATTAAACCCCACATTTTAATGTATTTTATTGGGAGATTGTGTGATAGACCAACTAAAACTAGTGTATAAATGTGACAAAATAAAATCCAATGCAACCAACAACTAGCAGATCCATCTATGAATGGGCAAATGAATTATTCAATGTTCTATCAGCAGGTATTGTAAGGCATCGTGCCATTCACCATCGCTAAAACTCATTTCAAATATTGCTGACAGCCGAGATCATAGAACAGTGTCTGCCTTTTTTCCTTAATATTTTCTATGCATTTTTCTTTAACACGGTGGAAAACCACATTTCTGGCCAATTCAGAAAATTTGTCAGCGAAACGTTTAGCCTTGCTGGAAATTCAAAGGAAGAATAATAAAATTTTCACACTCCACAATTTTGTCTGAGGCTATGAATAAAAAAGTCTACATAAAAATGTCTAATATCTTGCTTAAATTTGCTTAAATATAGTAATTTCACTCTAGGCACTGATAAAGTAACATGACCTAAAATTATCTTAATCTGTGCTGTAATCCAGAGTATTACGACAAACTGAACCACAACATCCACTCATTTTAACGCATCATTGGGATTTTATGTGGAGTGTTGAGCAAATTATGTTTAATTTTATCTCAGCATTAATTTAGCATCTCTTTACTGCTATTTAGTCCATTTTCTGTGAACTGAAGACAAGGTCTGTCCTTCTGAACGTGTTTTAAGTCCATCAGGGAAGCTGCACACATCTCCATCTAGCAACGTTTTACTTTCACAATTTGAACTTTACTTCCTGCTGTACAACATTTTATAAAATATAAGATAATCTCACCATTTGCAGTAATGATGTCCGTCGTCCTGTGGTGCAGTAGTAAGACGTTGGAAAGTTGTCCTGCTACGCAGAATCAGGAAGAAAACATGAAGTGAAACTCAAGAGAGCAAGAAAACCCTCTGTTGGTGTCACTAAAGCATTTTTAGGATACAACACAGACTTTTCACTGCAGGAAGCTGGGAAAATAATGATTTTAGACGTATTAAATATTAATTTATCACCTGGAGAACACTGAGAATACTGAGGGGATTTAACTGAAATAAATCCAAAGTTTAAAGGCCACAGTCCTTACAACCTGCCTTGATGTTTTTTGTTTTTTTTTTTTTTTAATCCTGACAGCTTTTCCACAGCGCCATGTTAAGTATTCACACCACAGGAGTTTTTCCACTTTTGATCACATTAGGACAAAAAAAATCTTCAATTTATCTTTATTTGGATTTAATATCACAGACCGACAAAAAGTAGCACAACAATCTGACATGAGAGGAAGATTTTTCTGATTAAAATTCAACAAACTCACTATAAAAACCAGAACAATTGCCTCCATAAGCCGATTAATTAGTGAGTATTGTAGAAAATGAGGGGTGTAAATACTTAGGGGAAATGGATCAGCATCGTTTAACTTCAGAACTTTTCCACTCTAATGCCATTTGGCAGTTTGAATAAATTAATTACAAATGCTTAATGATTACATCAGAAACATGCGACTTAAACTTAATCAAAAATTAATTGGCAGTACTGGTGAATGTAGAAAATGAATGAATATTTTCAGGGTTATACCAAACCAGGGAGGGATTATTTTGAGCCAGTTGGTAATTATAAATCTGTAGAGAACAATTATTAACTGTGAGGTTCCTCAAGGGTTCAAACTGGGCCCACTTTTATTTAACAGTCTCTCCCTCGTAACATGTCACTCTTCTCAAACAAAAATAAAACAATAGAGAAATAAAACTAAAAGGATGACTCAAAAACAGCCAAAACAAAACGGTTATCCTGCATGCCAACTTTCATAGTTTATCTCTGAGCAGTAAAACTTTCCAACATCTTGATTCAGTCCTCATTCTTTAAAGTGATAAAGGAGCCAAAAACTAAACGGAAACTTAACAACACCTTCAGAGCAGCAGAAAGTCTATTGATAAAGACACATTTAAGGTGGTTCGGGGAAAACTAGCTGCTTGGAAACAAGGGTTTGCACGGAGACTTTTGCACGATACGCTGAAACCCAAAGCGTCAAAATGCTAACTTTTCCTCAGGCTTCTTTTACATGTGTTTCACTGCCAGCGCCAGTAAAACTTAGTTTGATCCATGAGATCAAAAATTCAGCTCTGGTTAAAAATGCAAATATATATTAAGTTGGATTGTTTTATCCTTTGTGGTTTGGTTGTGAAGACCAACCCAGAATGAAAAATGGAAAAGAGGATCTGAGCACAAGAGAAGCTGACTGAGCAGCTTATTTAGGATGTGTTGATATAAAAAGTGTAGCTTGATACTGCTGACGATATTAAATAATTTGTGGAACAGATACTGAGGTCCATGCAGAGGGTGGGATCAATGTCCGTGTTTCAGTGAATCTAGACGGGAAGTTAAACAAACCAGAACAAAATGTTAAATGTTTTGTTGTATATCTGCCCGTTATTGCTTCATCATCACTTTATTATCACGGAGAGTTTTACCAAGTTCCTGTTTAAATATTTCACTTCTGTGTCCGCAAACAAAAGATTGCAAAATTACAGAATCAGAATGTTGGGAGGTGAAGCATCAACACTTTCAACATTTAATCGGATATCTTCTGTATCCTAAAATCCTCTGATCATGTTTATATATACAGAAAATCCTGCTTAGCAGAAAACAAGACTTCTGTCTTAGCATTATAAAACTCCTTCTGGCATCACATTGCATGATTTTTATTGTTATTTCGATTTTAGATAGATTATAATGCAGTTATGTTTCCCTGTATTTTCTGAAACAAAAAAGTCCAGGTAAAAAAAATTACATGAAAGTAAAATAAGTTCAAAAAACCCTCAACCCTTGTATTATGGGGGTGTTTGTAAAATTGCAGTCAAAACTTAGCAGGAAAACTGTAGATTGTTATCCTGTAACAGGAGAGAAATTGGTCGTATTTTCACCTCTTCAATCAAACATTTCTAAATGTCACAGTTCCAACTAAACATTTAGTTTGTGCATGAATGACTGAACGTAGGTTGAAGCGCTTTGGGATCCTCTGGACTTGATAAAGCGCCATAAGTACTGCAATTTACCATTTAGCGCTAAAGTTTTTGGTTAGAAAGCTAAATGTTTATGTTGAAGCTACATTAAATATTTTGTAAGTGCGCTAACCCTCCACCTTCTTCAAATCAGACAAAATTGTTGTCAATCAACTCGATTACCTTTGTGTTGGTTTGTGCAGCATTTTCTTTTGTTTGTGCTGCTTTTGCTTTGAAAATATGAGTAAAAGTTTAAAGGTCAAAAGGTCAACCAGCCAACCACATTACTCAAATCTAACAAAATTGGTGTCAAACGCTTGCGGTATGTTTGTGCTGCTTTTGCTTTGAAAATACTGACGATGACCTCTGATGACCTACAGAAACTTTATTAATATCTTTAAAATGATAGCAGCAAACTAAAATTTTCACTTTCACCAACTTTATTAGATTTGAAGACGGTGGGTGGGATAAATAAAACGTATCTCTTATTCTGGTATATCAAAATATTCAGTCCCAACTGGAATCAGCTCCCAGTGCAGAGAAATTAATTCAATGAGAAATCTTAGAGTTTTTGTTGCCACTTTATGTTCATAATTTATTAGAGTGATGTGTTAAAATACAAAAATAAAGGAATGAAAGAAACGGGACATTTGGTTTTAGCAGAAAATCTTTTTACTGGTGACACAAAAATAATAAATCCAACCGAGGAATCAGTTAAACTGAAAAACATTCTCAACATCTGTTTGTTTTTTTAGTAAAATCCGATCAGGAGACACACAAAGAGGAAAAGTAACATGAATTTCTGTGATCATAATTGTTGCTGGAGGTCAGTAAGGGTGCAGCAGAAACCCAGAGAAGATGCTGAATCCGTTGCCTCTTCCTGTCATCCCTCTGTTCTCCCTGGTCTCCAGCCAGACCTCCTGACCCTGAGACACGTAGACGGCCAGCCCGCCCGACGTCACCTGGAACCAGGGAAGGCCTCAGGCTTACTTACTGCATGCTCACCCACATGATCTCACCGTTTTAGTTTGATCGTGTTTATTTTGCTTTATGTGCATGAAGAGAAATCAATACGCTAGTAGTTTCTTGCTTTGCAGGAAAGCCAGATTAATTCCCAAACATGTTTTCAGGTCCAATCCTGGAGAGTTACCATCCTGCAGCCTTTAGACGCATTCCTGCTTTTTCACACCTGAATAAAATGAATGGCTTGTTAACAAGCCTCTGCACAGCTGGATGAAATCTGAACAAATCTTTGTTTATATTCTGCTGATGTTGAAAAATCACACTTTCGAAATTGCAGTGTTTCCATCAAATAAGAAGTGAAATTGAAATCATGTGAATTTGTTCACGCGATAATTCAGACATCAGAGTACGTCGCCGTCTTGCTCAGGCTTTGGACTGAAAATCCCGCGGCTCCCTAAGCGGCGTTTTGGGGAAATTGTAGTCGGTGATTTCACAGAAGGACAAACATGTACGGATTGAACACGTTGGAATGACACAAAACGTTTTTTGAACTGTGTGATGGTGGAGGCAGATGCAAAACAAAAACAAACCATCATCCTCCTACTACTTCCTGTCGTCTTCTTCAGTGTTTCTAATAAAGTTGGTGAAAGTAACCACTTCTTGATCATGTGACTCATGTAAAACGTGCTTATAAAACCACCTCATCCTTTACTCAATACTTTTTATTGAGTTTTTTTCAAAATTGCTGTGTTCCCATTAAGCAAATTTTTTTTTGTAATTTCAATCTATGCAATAATATGGCTACTGGGAAAGCAGGTGCTGATGGGATTTCAGCAGGGATGCATCCAAAGGCTGCAGGATGGTTCCTCTCAGGACTGGACTTTGAATAAAAATGTCGCCTCCCGCTCTGACCTGTTTTTTACGGCGACTATCGCAAAACGACGTCAGCAGATTGTTGTCGAGCTTCAGCTGCACGCAGAGTTTATCCTCCAGAGAAGCATGATACACAAAGAAGTACGTCCCCGGGACCCGACACCTAGAGCCCAACACACACAAAGACATCAGGAGGAGGAGATCCTTAAACCTTGTTTGGAAAAATCGACTTGAAACCGGAGTTTAAGATGCTCACCTGAAGTGTCCCGTCTCTGTGTTGAAGTCGTTCTCGATGTTTGTTATGACTTTAGTGAACCGAATTGTGCTGCTTTTAGCAGGAAACACGGACGTTCCTCTGGCCACACTGAAGGCCGCCTTCTGCTGAGCCGCAGCCGACCTGCAGAAAACAGGAAGGTTCTGGTTCTGAAGGTTCTGGTTCTGAACCTGAGAAATCAACCTTTTTTTTTTTTTACAAGATTTTATTCAGTCAGTGGCAGACCTACTGCAATGCTGTTTATTTCCTAATTCGACTTAGTTTAGGTTACATGTTTGCTCAACTCTACTGGTTTTCTGGTGGAGGATTGTTCCGGCTAAAACCAGGTTGTTCCACCCTACAGTCACCCTGTGCTTGACCAGGAAGTGAAAATGTGATGTTATTTACAGGTTTCCTTTGATAATGAATGTGACTTTAATTTGTAGCTTTAAATGAAAATGAGTTGCCTGCTATAGAACAGAATATAAACAAGACTGCAATAATGATGAAAGTAATAATAATAATCATAACAATGAAGTTTGAATCTGATTTAATCAGCTGAACTGTGTTGAATTAGACCTTCTGGTCTTTTAAACTGCATTAAAATAAGCTTTGCTGTGAATTTGCTTTAAACATAAACTGAAATACAAAAGTTAACAGGAAAAAAAATCATAAATAATTTTCAAAGTGGTTTACCTCATCAGTATACTCAAATAAAATAAAATCCAGATTAAAAGTATTTAAGTATTGTTGGCTTTGACAGATTTCTTCCTTCTCATTTTCTGTCTGAACTTTTTGTTTAAAATTGTTGGAAGTTATGGAAAATTGTTGAATTTTACACTTTAATCTTTTTTTGAATGTTTTATTTTTAAGCTAGTTTAAGGTGCTAATTCCGCATAGAAACATCTTCATTTAAACTAAATATTTTAACTACTTTACATTACTTAAATGTTTGTCATGTTTATTGTTTATTTTTCTCTTGTAAAAATGCCTTTTAGTGTCTGAAAAAGCTCTATAAAAATTAGATTTGTTGTTATTTTGCTTGTCTGTGTTGTACCCAGCTTCTCCTGGCTCTCCTGGAGGCCCGGGAATCCCTGCGCTGCCTGGTCCTCCTGGTTCCCCTGACGGGCCTCGTTTGCCGGGCGCTCCCACCGGGCCCGGTTCCCCCTTCCAGCCCTTCTGAGGCCCCAGGCTGCCGGTCCTTTCTGCTCCTGGTGAACAACAGTGAGTGGACATTTTCATTTTATTGTTTCTTCAGAGAATCTGGACCAGATCGGTGCTGCTGCACTACAATCTCATACTGAGAAATAAAATTTTAAAAATATATTAAACTAGAAACAGAAATTAACTGGTTTTATACAATTTTGGTTTACTTATGTAAAAATATTTTATTTCTTTCTTAAAATTAGTTTTTGCAAATCAAATTTTGTGTACAGAAATGAACAGAAAGTTGGTTTATATTAATTTAAAATATCTTTGCACTTTGCTTTAACTTTAACTGTTTAGCCAACTTTAATTTTAATTGAACTCCAGTTCGTTTGATGAGGTGTGAATGTGTAATTAATATCTGATCCGCCTACAAACCTCCGTCTCGGTTCAATTGAAGTGAACTCTGGTTCAGTTTGAGTGCATATGTGAACGCTAAGCGGACTAGAGAACGCTCCAAAAGCAGGAAGTGGACTACAGCACAGGGCATTCTGGGTAAATATAACCAAAACAAACCCGCTAGTTTAGCATTAGCGGGAGAAATAGCTCGTAGACTTTAGCCAAAAACAAAAGAGAAATCCTACAACCGCTACAATCTGACACCACTCCATTTCTGTTTACTTTTCCTAAAGCAGGAAGTTTCATTCAGTGTCTTCAGAGATTTTCATGTCGTTTCCTTCAGTGGTTCTTGGTCCAGGTTGACCCAAAAATGACTAGCGCTTCAACAGTCTACTCACTCCAGGTTCTGAGTACAATGATGCACCTCTAAGATTTTATTGTGAAATGATCTGAAAATCATGTTTTATTGTCCTTCCAATTCCCAATTATTCATCACATTGTGGTATTTTGGTTTATCGCATAAAAATCCATTGAAGTAGATTAAAATGTATGGATGTAATGTGAAGAAAGTTTGAGAGGTATTAGCTACTACTAATGTTTTGTTAATTCTCATAAAACATAAATTAACATATTGGTGTGAAAATCATCAAAAACGTACCACATTAAACGGGATCTGACAACGAAAAACCAAACATGACAAACATTTTTGGAAAACCTGCCTGGATCTCCTTTTTCTCCTTTCTGCCCATCACGGCCGTCTCTACCGGGAAGTCCAGGAATACCTGAGGAACGACACAAAACATCACAGAAACCCCTACAAACAATCCATCCTGCTGTGCAACCACATGCGGATCCAGACCTGGGATCCCTGGCATTGCTGGACACGTCTCCATGGCGACCAGCAGAGGTCCAGCCAATGAGAGCAGAGCTCCCGTTAGGAGAAACTGACGGAGGAGCATGAGGCTAACGAGGAGAGGAGGAAATGAGGAGAAAATCAGAGAGTCAAATATGTGACAATGAAATGAATGGATGGGAAGATGAAATCTAATTAAATATGAAAAAATCAGGTCAAAGGAGGAAATAACAGGAAATATTCAGGAGAAACAGAGAGAAGGGAATTAAGAAGGAGACACATTAAAATGTCTGACAAAAACTTAGAAACTTAATACCATAAAACCATAAAACCAAAAATCAGCATTAAAATAAATTTAAGGATCCAAAACATACCTGAGGGAGTAAAAAGCAGACTGAAGAGAAGCTCCGAGTCCTGCAGCGGCCGGACGAGGAAGTCAGCATAAAGTCGTGTGAGGAAACATTTCTGATCCGACAGTTCTGCATTTCTGGGAGGGTACAAGCGGCCGCAGAGATCCAGAGGCAGAACAGACTCCCAACGGCAAACCAGTAACTTGAGACACGGGAAACGGACTAGAACTTCAAAAAATACTCTACAAATGAAGCTGAACGTCCAGAATGAAATGCTACATTCAAAAACAGTTTGGTTCTCATGCAGATCGGAACCACAGGAGGGAACATAAGTGGAGGAGTCACCAAGATTTGGTGTTTTACTTTGGGTTTCCTTTAAGTTTGTGTTTATTATCGCTCAACAGGTCTTGCCATATTCACTTTTTTAACTTCCATTCATCAGAAAAGTGACTGAAAAATCTGTGTTTCAACGAACAACCACTTTGATATATTTGATATATCAGGTTTCCATGGTTACCACAGTACTGAGACTGGCCTAGTCAAAGTGTTCAATGACATCCAAATAAACACGGACTGTGGAAGAACCACAGTGCTGGTTCTGTTGGACCTCATTTGACCTTCATATATTACTGGAACGGCTGGAGAGTTGGTCCAGTACTCAACTGGTTCCAGTCTGACACAAAGAGCCAGGATTTCTTTGTTACAATAGGAAGCGGACAGAAGGTCTCCAATTTACAGTAAAATATGGGCACCCATGGGTGCCAGAATTTTCCTGTGTTTTAACGTATTTACACGATTTTACTGAAAAATACAGTAAAAATCATATTTTACCACCTAAATACGGTAAAATTGCTTTTAAATATGGTGTTTACTGTATTTACACTGTAAAAACAGATTGTACCATATAAATACTGTATAAATACTGTAAAATCTGTATTTATACAGTAAAATTCTGGCAACCACAACTGCCGGTATTTTACCGTAAATTAGAAATGTTTTTCACAGTGTACACTACCAAACAGGACACATAAAATTTTTTAAAAAAGATATTTCCAGCTGGTTTGGGTGTCAGTGTAAAGTCCAACAATAATACTAATATTGATGTTGCTCTCAGTTTGAAAAAGATGTTAAATTCTTTGTTTTATTTCATCTTATCTGTCATAAAAGAGAGACTAGGCTAAAACCACGGAGGTTTTGCAGGTCAAATGACCAAAGTGTTTTTTTTCTGTGCAGCTCTGCAGCTTTGGGCCGACTCTGGTTCAGTTTTGTTTAAACTTGTAAAGGATTGAGAAACACTGGAGCTCCACTTTGACAGCAGGCAAAGGTCAGGTCAGGGTGTGGCACAATAATCCAGAAAGAGGATGTGCAGAAACCCAGATTGTTTCGTTTCCTTCGCACAATTAAACGAAAATGATCTGGTGATCAAACAAACAGCGTCAGCCAGGAAGGATTGTCATGTCTTACGACCTGAGGAGAAGATAAATATCTCTCTCATGTTGCTAAAGACACATTCACACAGCAGGTGAATGACACCCATATTTACTTTTCCACGACCCAATTCAGATGTTTTTACCCCCCAAAAAAATCAGATTTGTGCCACTTCTATATGTGAAGCTAAATCGGATATGGGATTAATTTCAAAGCATCTGCAGTTTGAGGTCATGTTGGATTTAACTTTCCTTTTACGTTATTGTTGATGTGAGACTTTCATCATCATGAATAATTATAAGTACCTTAACTTCACCTCTGCTGGCTGTGACTCAGCTTCTACAGAGCAGAGAAGTTTGTTTCCGTGGCTCCGATCAAGGAGTCTCATACAATTACTACTTGGTAATATTATTTATTATGACTTTGTTCTCCTATTACTATGACTGCATTCTCGTATTATTTCATCTTAATACTTGTGACATTATGAAAAAATCAGAAAAAAAATTATTCTCTTCATCTGGCCGTAATAGTCTGTTGTAAAAAATAGAGTATAACTAGAGTAGAAAATAAAATACACACATCAAGGTTGAGGTTAAAAAGTAAAATAACTTATTTTAGTGCAATTAAAAAAAAAATCACTAAAATAACTTCTGTGATTTTTATGAACAAAAAGCAAAACATACATGTTGTTGTCTTAGCAGAACAACAATAAAACATTTATATTTACTTTGTGAACTGATGCTACTGAAATTAAAGTAACAAAGAGACATTTTGATCCATTAGAGTTATATTTATTACATTAAATCAGAGGTGACCAAAGTGCGGCTCGGGGGCCATTTGTGGACCTCGGCACAATTTTGGAGGGCCAGTGGTCACAGTTCAAAAATAGCATAAAAGCGTTTCGCTGGTTCAGGCAGTTGATGCAGATCCCCATTTTAAAATCTTAAAGTGGAAAATCTAATGTGCACCACAAAGTATTCATCTTTACATTTTTTTAGTAATAGGGACTAAAAACATCCTGTGATGGCCATTTAATAAACTTGGAAAACTAAAGCAAGAGTGAGTCACAAACTGTTCCACAAAAGAGAAAAGAAAAGACAGAAAAGAGAAGAAAAATTCATGATTATCATTTTATTTTCCTCTTTTATCTGGCAAACCTGCAAGAGCCGCTTTTTGTTTTAAGTCTCCAAAGAACTACAGGGATCTGACTGCTTTGCTTATTTCATTATAATATGGTGTGTTTAGTTTGTTTCTTTAGCAAATAAAAATTATAATAAAAAATACTGAACATTTTGTGGCCCTTGGAGTAGTTGCAACTGTATTCTCAAACGTTTGGTCATCACTGCATGAAATGATAAACTTCAGGTTCAGAGTCAGGGTTTAATAAAAATCAATCAGCTCTGAAATGAGTAAATATGAAAACATTTTACGTGATGCAGCTGCTGAACCTCAAACACTGAAATCAGAGATGGTTAAATGTTGCAGTGCGAGGACTTGACTTGTTTTTATTATGAATTTGAGAAGATGAGGAAGCCGTTGAAGACGATCAGTTTTTCTCTGACGTCTCTCGCGTCGGTGTCTTTCGCTATCTGCAGGCTTTGCTGCTGGTCTTTGTAGGACTCCAGCCAGACTTTCTGTCCCGCCGTCAGCTCCAACACGACGCCACCAGACAGCACCTGGGGAAAACACAGCTCATCACATCGAGGCTTTGAAAGAAACGCTCTGCCTCTCTGCTGTCTGGAAGGGTTTTATCAAAGGACAAATGTCACGTTTCAGAGGCAGAAAAACTGTTAATCCTGATATATGAAGCATAAATATCTCACAGGGTGAATACTAGAAATAACCAATCAGAGCTAAGAGGCGGGTCTTAGTGCTGTCAATCATGCTCTTGTGCATGCTGCCTCAAGTCTTTGCAGCTTCTCCCAGTCAGCATAGCCTTTCCTGAATGCTAAGGTTAGTTAGCACAGCCACCAATGACAGCTGATAAATGGCTTTTCTGTAAGTTGTTTCACTCCCTTAGCACATTTAGCAGTGCGTTCATGAGGATTATTGACAGCGCCAAGACCCTCCTCCTGGCTCTGATTGGTCGTCTTTGGTCGGGAGCGGTACATTTGTTCAGATGGGAATAATAGGAGTAGATCGATCTTTTACATCTTTCTCATATTATCCTGTCACAAACATGTAGCAAACAGATTTTCTTTAAATAAAAGTTACATACTGCAGCTTTAAGCCGTATATTGAGCATAATTTTTAACACTTACCTGCTCAGAGTTCCTAGTGTTTTCATCACAAAACACGATTTTCTCTGGTTCTCCTTCTTTGACTAAACCCAGGCACATGCTGACCTAAAAACACATGCAGACGTTCAACAACTGCTACATAGATTTACAGCATTTTTAGCCATAATTGCAGTGTAACAAATTAGAGGCATGCCTTGGCAACGGAGTGGAAGGTGAAGTAATAAAAACCAGGTGTCGTGCAGGTGAAGATGCCAGTGTTTATGACGAAATTGTTGTTTATGTTGACGATGGCCTCCTGATAAGTTATTTTCTGACAGGAAACAAATGAGATTTCAGTTTCAGTTATGTCTAGATAATTAATAAGTCCTTAGCATGTAGAAGTGTGACCTTTAGCAAACCTGGTTGAAAGGTGGGTATCTGGTGGTATTTCTCTTCACAGAGAAAGCGGAGTGAGTTCTCTGATTGGACGAACTTTGTCCTGAAAACACAAACACATTAATTGAACCAGGGGTGTCCAAACTTTTTGTTATGTGGACCAAAATCAACCAGTCAGAATACTTCTATCCAAGAAACTACTGCTAATAATAGAAAGATTAAAATAAAATCAATTAATTCTGTCTGTTTTTTTTATTGTATAAAATGTGGATCCAACACTTTGAAATTATTTTTATATTAAAAGAAACTTAATCTAGTTTTCAATTCAAAAATATTTTGTTGATCCCAAAGGGAAATTAAATATTGCTATAATTCATATTAATTTAGTTCTTCAGAGTTATTGTAGGTAATGATGGCTGTGGAGAGACCTCCTGTAGCAGTCTGTGTTACGGTCAAAGAAACCTCTGACTGAAGACACTTTGTTTTCCCAAGACAGTCTCACAAAATTCTTTTCAAATTATTTTTGAACAAATCTATTCTGTTATAAAAATAGTTTCTTTTTTTCAAAACACTCCCTGTATTTAGTTGAGTTTAAAAAAAAAAAAAAAAAAAGCTGATTTAGGTACAGCAAAGTCGGTAAAAGTCTCTACTACAAACACTTGGTTATTAAAACAGTTTCTATTGTAAGAAAGCAATACTGGTTATAATTTTACCCCTATTACATATAAAAAGTTTGCATTTGAATCATTCTTGAATTGCAGTTGGGGGGCCACACAAAATTATTCGAAGGGCCATCCAGAGCGCTCAGAAAACGTCCCTGAGCGCCACTAGAACTGGGCTAAGCAGGTTTTCAGGGGGAAACCTGGGACATTTATGACCAAATAACTGAAAACAGTCTCCATTTCCTCCTCATGAGTCATTTTGGTGCTTCTCTATGTGAAGTTTCTGCTTGTCAGAGTGTTTGAGGTCAGATGTAGCCTCAGTGTTAAAACGATGTGCAGCGTTTACCTGAGTTCAGGTTTATCCCCACTGGACCGGGTGGACCAGGCTGACCCGCCATTCCTGCTGCTCCCACGTCACCACGGTAACCCTTTGGACCAATCGGCCCTTGTGGCCCCGAGTTTCCTTTGTCCCCTCTGAGCCTCAGCAGCATGCTTGGGTCCACTGGGCCGTCCACCCAGACAGCTGAGGACAAAGCCATAAACCAGTGAATACATATTTAATGCAAAAAAAGGGATTTGTCTAAAAGTTGCAGCTTAAATCAGAAGGCAGCAGTGAAAACTGACACATCTGCAGAAATCATTTAATCCGAGGTCATTGATCAATCTAAAGCAAAGCACTAGGTGCAGCTTGGATCAGTCCAGTGACAGCAGTGTGTTAAATACACATAAAGATGCAATGTAGTCATAAACTCAGAGAATTATTTAGTATCGGTCAATAACTGATAATGCTAAAGTTATAAAATCACATATTTAAGAAAAACTTAAAGGTGATTTATTACGCTTCCTTGATCGGGTTAGTTGTTTCTTCATTATGTTTTTCACACAAAATAATTTTTAGATGATGAGATTTTAATCTGCTCAGCTCTGCCTATGATTTAGGGCGTCCTGTCACTTTAAACCTGCTGCTGGCCACGCCCCTCAATTCATCGTTTACTCTCGCATGTAAAAATGGCTGCTAACAGACGCGCAATCATACAACTGTACGCATTTGAAAAACAGAAATGGAGCCAGAATGCAGAAAGGGGCTTCTGGACGGTAAATCAATGACAAAACACACGTCTTTTCCAGCAGCCATTGTACAGCGCTTACAGCGGTAAAACCAGCTGACCAGACATGCTGGAACTCATCTCATGTTGCTAGGTAACAGGCTAGGCTCATTTTCCAGACACTAAAAAACAACTTATTGCCAAAAAACAGCTAGGTATTGTTTTGTTTTTAGAAGTAGTAGAAAATATATAAACTATGAATTTTGCATAAAAGGTCCCTTTTAAAACAATCCTATATGACTTGGGTTTCAGCAGGAAGACACTACCTGGCTCTCCCTTCTGGCCTTTCATCCCAGCCAGCCCGTCTCGTCCAGGAGGTCCACGTTCTCCTGGATGGCCGTTACAGTTGCATTCGACGGCTGACAGCACCAAAGCAATGGTGAACAGAACTGCACAGACAAAATCCGCTCCCATGGCTCGAAACGCTGGGGAGAGAAACAGGAACGCATGCAGGATGATGAAAAGTCTCGGTTTCACGTTAAACTGTATTTTATAAAGTTTAACATGAAGAGACATTAAAAGAAACATGTCTCCAAAAAGCAGCAGCCAACATGTGATCATATTACTTTTGATTTAGGGTTCATGTAGCATCTGGCAAAAACAATTCATGCAAACTACAACAACCTAATAATTACAGAATAAAAATCTCAACCTTAAATTGTTAAGTTTGGATAAAATTATCTGCTTTTAACATTTTGGTTTTGAAATAAGATGCAAGTAAGAAGGAATGCAAATTTATACTATTTATGTAAAAATAATCAGTTTTCTGAAAAACAAAGAAAAATATCAGAAAATAATTTAGCATTTTTTTTCTTTTCAATGTCAGTATATATTTATATCCAATAAAGGAAGTTACTGCTTTAAAGTCCAGCAGCAGTGTTGTTACAGGTGGATAAAAACCATAGAAACTTAATTTCCAATGCTTTCTTCAAAATGTTTGCCTGTTTTAATCATCTTAATGTTCAGAATCAGTAGAAACCCTCTTACCGGTGGAGATCTCCCAGGTCCGGAAGAGCAGCAAACAGATGAGATTTCCTCTTTATTGAACTGAAGATTTGCTGACTTACTGAGATCTGCAGACGTGCTCACGTTGCACAAACACTCAGACATGAGGAAGACAATGAAACCCATGAAGAAGAACCACCCAGAGCTGCTGCATTAACATGTTAGGTTAATTTAAATGGGTTTTAACTCCTGCACTCCTGAAGCTAATTGCTTAATTCTAATAAATCAGTTTTTTCCTTGGAAAAAAAATCCCATCTTTGATTCACATCCAGCCTAAACCCCAGGCAGATTTGAAATAAAACCTCAAATCAGTCTGCAACTTTCTGCAAAGGACATTTCTATCTTAAGACCCTTTAAAACTGAAAAATCTAATTTAACAAAGTCTGACTTATCAAACATTCAAAACAATTCAGGCAGAAAAACAGGTGAGATTACCACCTGTAATTCAAGTCTACCACCTTTAGACTTGAATTATTTAGATATTCCTATGAAACATCATTATCCCAGCAGATCGTCCTGAAAGCTTAGCTGTAAATGTTAGAGCTGTGGCGCCCCCGTCTGGTCGATAATAAAAATGTAAGTTTTATTTGTCAGAGCTGAGAAACGTCATATATCGCAGCCTGGCAGGGATACTTTATTCCTCAGTGAACCATCTATTCAGGATGTAAGCAGTATCTCAACATTCACCGTTCATACTGTGAATGTTACATTTTTATGTTGGTTTTATCATTTGTTCAATTTTCTGTTTTAGGACTGGATGAACATCAGGACTTCACCAGGAGTTAAACAGGCTCTAGTGAAAAGCTCTTGTTCTGCGTTTTTATGTGAGAAAACAATCATGGAGTTAAAGACTTGCAGTTCATTCTCAGCCGGGTTCGATTTCTTTCTTATGAAGAAGACTGAACACGTGTTAACTGGTACCGGCTCTGTGACCTACATTCACAGACTCACTAAGGACGTAATGTTAACGTAGTGAAGTTACATTACCAGAACAAGGTCGTATTAGACATATAATTTTAAAAAGAGGATTGTTGAACACTTTATAAAGTTATGTTTTTTTTTTTTATAAAAAGGTTATTTTAGAAATAAGGAAATATTGAATCTTTTTACACATCAACATGAAATTATAAGTAACAGGACTTGGAAATGATTGTGCGCTTCCATATCGAAACTTCACAGTTTGACTTTTCCCTCTGGTAATATTGTATCTTTTTTTCTAATATTAGAACTCTATTGTCATAATATTACAATTTTATTCTCGTAATTTCAAAAAAGAAAAATCTCTCTCTATCTGGCTCTAATACTCAATTATATATATATATATATATATATATATATATATATATATATATATATATATATATATATATATACACACCTAAAAAAAAAATAGAACA